AGAGAAAAAAAAACAAAGAAACAAACAACAACACGAGAGCCATAGAGTATTGAACTGACCAAAGGATCGAATACTCGAAATGGAAATTAGTCAATTACTTATTTTGAAAAGCAACTAGTCAAAAAGGCGTACCGGGCTTCCTAAGTTGACGTCATCACCTAGTCAAGACTGACTGGAATCTTGCGATCTACTTCCAAAGTGACTTTACTCGTGACATAAACGATAATATTTTATTATTTGTATGCTCCCCATCCAGGCTAGGCGATAATTTTTACGATCTCGTATGCTGATCCCATCATCATGTTTTTATGAAACTCAACAGAACGAAGTGCGTTCCAGCACCGATGACTGGTCAGCGTTGGGCATGCGCGGTAACCAGTCTAGCCCTGTTGTTTGTGAAGGTCTATTGTCACCAGACAGACTTGTTGGTTCCTTTGGTAAGTGTTACTGGACCAGAGCATTCTATTGCATTTCCACTGATAGATTTCATCATCACAGGACGCTTTTGAAATCTCTGATCTATAGGTTGATCTAGGGGGGAGAATCACGGGGGGACCGACCCCACCCCCATTAGACCGACAGGTTCTCTTAATCTCGTACCCAGATTCTACCGTGTAGCTGGCCGTGAAAGGTCTGGGCACGAGACTAGGGTTATCTTAGTACTTGTCTGAAATTAAAATTCTTGCAACTACAGTATCGTATGTTACTACATAATAGTATTCAATACTTACTTGTCCTGTATCATATATTACGCGATTTAAGCTATGGTGTAAATAAAAATTTGGACCCCCAATATGAAAAATTCTTGGATCCGCCCTTGTAATTCCAGCAGTATGCTGAACGCTTATCGCATATGAATCCAGTGATGGCCTCGCTCATCAGCAAGTTTTTTATAGCTCAGCTGGTACAACACATGGCCACAAGATCTGAAAGTTTGATCTTCCTAAGCTCGCGGGGGACTTAAACTTTTACTTTGTCTCACGTTCGTGATAAGCTGGATTCAACAATCTTTGTTTGTTGATAAATTACATTTCTATGCGTATGCAACCGAACCTCGTTTCGTTCTTTATAAATAGGTGAATTTCCATTAGCTGCACATGAAGTCATCGACCCATACTTCCTACTATTCAGCTCGGCCTGTTGGAACGGAATTTCCCTGGGTTCTATGGATATTGCCAAAAAACACGTGATTAGAACAGAACATGTCGATAAGGGGATGCGCGTGGCGGACTATCCAGTTATACAGGTAACATGCTGGTGCCCCCCTCTCCCGTCCCTATTTTCTGATATTCTATTTGGATTGAGAGAAGAAGACTCTATAACCTCTTAACTAAACTAAACAAAACACTTTCGTTTCCACTCTCTTTCCTTCATTATTTACATTCTTCTATTAATCTTTATTTGTCAGTTATATATTTTTTATGGAATCCTTGTTATCAAGCTTACTAAAACCGGCTATTTTCTCTATCTTTTTTTCTTCTCTGAACAGGACAACTTTGGAAGATCCCTTACAGAAACCAACTGCAGCCGTATGATGCTGTTCAGTGTGGCACAAGCCATGGATCGAGTGACCAATGATAACGACTGGTCCATATATGAACAACCGTTCATGGCACCTATGTATGTCGTAGATTCCACTCTTATTTCAAACCCTAAATCAGAGGGGATCTTACAATAACGTAACGTTGCATAAAGTTAATTCAGGTCACTTTACGTCATGACGCCACTTCACCTCACGCGTCAATTTACGTCATATCATATGTGTCACACCAACTCATGTCATAATATGTCTCATAATGACCTCACGTGGAGTGAATATAACAAGTCCTGGCGCACTTCTTGACCAACAAGGCCCTTTCTCTCGCCGGGCGCGAGAATCTGTATAATCACTTGAGTTATCATACTAGTGTGTCATATCACATCATGACATGTCGATCACATTCCGCATAAAATGCACCTCCATCAAACTATTCCACCACGACTCCCATTTTTGTTAAAACATATGCTATTTTCTAATAACTTATCGGTCTGGAATTTTTTTTAAGCGTTTATTTGTAAATCTTTATATTATTCTTTCTGTAGTCGCGGTCAGTTCCATCATTGGTGTTTTCAAGTCAAAATCAAGGCAGCTTCTAACGTTGATGCCGTCACAAATGAAATGATGCACGCCTGTGGTGGAGTTGGATATAAGAAAGAACTTGGTGGGTAAAATTATTTTAACAATAAGCCTTGTTTGTTAGTAGCCTCGTTTCAGTGTCAACTTAAGCGAGGCTACTAAGTGGCTACAAAAAGAAGACTCGGTTTCTTGGGTGTGTGATTTTCTCTGTAACTAAAAAGTTCTATCAAGAAAAGCGGGTTCTTAAAGGTGAAAGGAAAAGAGGCGAGGACCTGGGAAATCTAAGACATCTGTGTATCTCACAGACTTCGCAGATTTAGGCGGCTGAATAAGTAGCTGAAGGTGGCTGTTTTCAATAGAAGGGGGGGAAGCTCTCAGCTTTTGTGCAGGACTTCGTGGTCCCAAATCAGGTCAGCCTTGCCACCAGGCGTTTTCTTTTCCTTAGCTGTTAGCGTGCATAGTTTGGGAAGGGCTGTTCTTTATCAGTCTCCCACGCTCACTCAAACGTCCATGTTTAACCGAGTAAGGAATGCCTAGGCACTGGACTGATAACAGACCTTGGTGGGGCTTATTGTACTTTCCATTTATGCAGGGGCTCCTGCCCATTATAGTACCTCTCTCTCTCTATAATGAGGGAACTTGGTAGTAAAAACATAATATCCTCATCGCAAAGTAACCCGACTATAGAGATAACTTCAACTTTATAATGAAGAAACTCATCATGTTTGGCTCATGCGCATTGTAGGTCTGGAACGCCTTCTCCGGGATGGCAAAGCAGGATGGTTAATGGGCGCCAGTAACGAGGTGCTCAGACAAATTGTTGGAAAAACGAGCCTGTTTGGGCTTGAAGTCTTGGACCTCTGGTAAATAATCTATCCTGGTACTAATTCATTCATGTCCACACTAGTTAACTAGAAGTTTATTCGAAATAGATGATTGAAATTTTATTACATTGTTTGAGTTTGACTCTGCTTTTACTTTGGGTAAATGCTTTTTGTTATGATCGGAAAGTTTACGTGAGTAAAGTTTACTGTTCCGACCCTGTGAATTAGTTTTCTTGCTTTTTAAGAATGTCATCTTTTCAGTTTTATTCTTCCGTTTCGTCATCACGTTCGAAAACACAAAGGCCTATTGGACTCCAGATCGAAAAGTTTGAGTGCGAGCCTTGGGCGAGTGACTTTCTTCATTTTCTGCAGTGTATTTGAAAATAACTTTTTTCTCTCACTTGTAATTCTCAGGGGGAAGGTTTCTGATACACGTGTGCTTAATTCAGAACTGAGAAAGCTAAGTGCAGAAGAAAAGAAAGAACTGGCGCGCAAACTTCTCATTGAAGCCAGTAATGAAGACAACGATTTCAACCACAACATCGAGCTTCAGAATTCTTACCAAGACTCGGAGTTTGAAAATCCATTCAACACCAGTCCTCCAACTATGTTGAAATCTCTGGACATAGATGACGAGTTGTCTCGCAACCCTTCTCTCAGACCAAACGAGTTCACCGCCCTGAAACTACACTCAGTAAAACCTCTCGGGGAAACGCTTGCCGAGTACACATTTTCTCTTCCCCAGGCTACAGACTTCACTGGATGCTTCCCTGGTCAATACGTCCTGGTGAGGATTGGGAAACATCAGAGGTTTCTCTCCCCTGTATCACGCGCAAAAGAATTGGGCAAAATTTCGCTCTTGTTGAAACATGAGACCAATGGAATATTCTCCAACTGCATCCGTGCTCTTCAAATTGGTGAGAATAACATAACAAAATATTTAGAAGTTAAATGTAAACCTATACTCTGAAAATTCAGCGAATTTTGTCGAATACTGCTTTTATCGGCAAGGATAACCGCCTGGGTAAAATAAATCCAAAGAACTTTTTGATCTTTTCTTCAGGTGATACCGCAGATTTTCGCGGACCTTGCGGTGGATACGAGTATCAGCCTAATTCTACCAAGTATTTGACTCTGGTGGTGGGAGGTATGTCCTGCCAGCCTGCTGTTCAGATTATACGTGAAATAATGGCTAATCCTAAAGACCAGACCTCTGTAACCCTGGTCCTCTGTGCCGCCAGACCAGCTGATATACCTTACCTCCAAGAATTGCAGAAATACGCCTTACATGACAAACGTCTTACAGCTTCATTCACGGTGTTTGAAGTCGACTGTGATGATTGGAAGGGAGGAGAAGGTTATATTGATGCAAAGTTTTTGTCTAATACCCTTCCCCTCCCAGAAGAGTCTAGCCATCGTGTGGCTGTGTGCGGAGGGCCCCGTATGGTCCTGGGAGTACTTCAGGGGCTCAGAACGCTGGGTTACTCAAGTGACAAGATCTTTGTGTACGGTCAGTTTGGGGTCCAACAAATCAGGGCTGTTTATGGAAAACATGCAAAGCTGGCAGAGCATAGGGAGACTCACATTATCAACGGATATCATTAATCAAACGTCTTCATACGGATTACCAGAAAATAAGCCTGCGTCTGCATGTTTATGATTGGAGAAGTAAACTTCGCCCTTGACCAAATGGGATACCATGATATTTCAAGCTTCTTACATCTCTTACTGTACGGTGACACATCGAGAAAGACTCTTTTAGGCTGAGAACAATTGATTGTTCCCATCGGATCGACTAGAACTGAACTCGAAAATTAACTTTGAAAATTTAGGGTCAGGTTTGTGCAAAGATTAACAATTTTGCATGATTGGCGTGACTGACTAACGAAAAACGGTTACGATTTTGACTACATAGATCGTATTCATTATCACCAAATGCTTGAGAACGGATGCTCCTTACCTTTAACCCCTTTTCAACTGGTCAAAACAAGTTTGTAAATATGTTGGTCAAATGATATGAACCTATATTAATCCATGACATATATATCAATAAATGTACCTTGAACACGACGAGTAGTTTAATAAACATATGTACATCAGTATGAAATATGTGGCTGTAAATATCCTTGTAAAGGATTCGACCTATACATAAAATCTCCTTCTCGATCTTGTTCGAAAAGTCTCCGTTTTCCCTTTTGTTCCTCAACTTTTACTGGATTGTTCTCTTAATTAAATAGGTAAAAATCAACTTAATGAAGAGAAATTTTCAGCCTGGTGAAACATAGATGTCTTCGAATGTTATTCTATCCGATCCGTCTTTTTTTGCGACTGTCATTGTCTCTCCGTTTTTTTGTCGGTCTCTCTAAATATTAAACGTATCTCCTAGTCTTCCTGTGTCCCGTTCGTCGTTTGCCGTTTCTGTAACTCCGTTTCAGCGAAGCTTTTGCACGTAAATAGAGCTTTATTGTTCCACTGCTCCCTACTGGATGTTCAGTCGTCGTACTTGAGGGCTATCCCCCAGTTGGAATGGACGTGGTTCAGGTTCACCTCACTTGTCTGAAGTCAGGTGAATGATATGGGTAAGAGTTGGTTCTCAAATGAATTTCACAAGCTGCCTCATTACAAGAAGTGGTCCATGCCTTTTGCAGGGATGCCATCCTCTTTGAATTTTTATATATCCTTTTGGTCCCATCTCTAAATTTATGATACCAGAAGAAGCAAATGAGAGGATTTACAAATGTTGAGGTCTTGGCAAACATAGCTGCTAAGGCGAAAGCCAAAGGAGGGATTTTTTCTGGGGTACCAATGACTGAGAGAAACGAAATAATGGCATATGGCATCCAGACGAAGAAAATAGCCACAAACATGATCAGACCAGTCCACATTGACTTTTTCTTCGCCAATACGCGAGCGATGGTCATTTGTGCTTTACGTCCCCATTGCTTCTCGGCTATCCTTGCCATCCTTCGCAAATCGTATGAAATAGCAGTATAGCAAGCCATAATAATGATAACCGGAATAAACAGGAACAATACGAAAGTGATCATCACGAAAGAGACGTCAGTTGGATCAGTGGATTTCCAGTTGATGGAACACACAGCTCCACTGCCTTCAGGTCCATATGATGACCAACCAATCAAAGGCATTGTTCCCCAAACAAGCACAACAGCCCAGACAACCACAATAGTGGTGATCATTCCACGCCTTCGAGCTCCAGCGTTTCGTAATCCTCTCACAATTTTTCTGGCGGCTTCTACAGCAATAACACCGTGGTGCAGAATGGAAGAAAAGCCAACCACAGTGTGACCGTACGCGTACCAGTGACATCCAAAATCACCTACCAACCAGATCCTGTTGGCATTTGCGACAATTCCAAATGGCATCACAGTTACGGCTAGTACCAGGTCGGCCATGGCCAAGCTAAGTATTGGTAAGCTTGAAGGGGTGAGGAGACAACGAACTTTGTAGAAAGTTAGGATCACGATGCTATTGGTGATAATTGTCGTCAGCATAGTCAGAATGTAGACAGCAGCGATCGTATAGTAGATCTTCTTATCGAGGACTTCGATAATTTCGCCAGCCATGGTCCTCATGAACTAAATTGTAGAGACTGCCATAATTTGTTTTTATCGCACCGTCCTTTTTTGCATTATTTTGTAGAAGCCTGTAATGTTGACAACATCAAGGTTTTTGAACGCCTGCGGAACATATCGACATTTGAGCGTTAATTTAGTTGACACAATGAAGGATATGTTAAATTCTCAGAGTGATTTCGTGGTTTCTACAGGTTTATGTCCATCACTTACTAATTACAGAATTTTCATGTACAATTACCATATATAATTTTATATCCCTTTTCATTCTAGGAAGAGTTATTAATAACCAGTTAGAATTAAAGATCTTCCAAATCACCTCAAAACAAAGTAGACTTTGGTTCCAACTCATTAGAAAACGTAAAGGTGTCGATTGCTGCTACGAGCATGACTAATTATCTAGTGAGATCTCCCTTTTGATCCCACTGAATCAAAAGAAGATCATCTATTCTGTTTTATTCCTCGTGTTATTTGTTACATTTACATAGGACACACATTTTTGTCGATACCGCAGTTGCTGTGAGAACAATTTCAACTTCCAAAGCTATTATCGAAACCTAAAAAATCACATAGCGTTTTTTTATTACATTTTTTTTTCACGAGAATTTTGACAAAGTAGAAGCTGGGATGCTTTATCTTTCAGATCCATCAGAATTCGGACACAGAAATGATTCAGGTGATCATGAGAAGGCTATTGATAGCTACAAGCCAATAACCGTTGATTTTTTTTCCGCTCTTATTACAAAGCAAACATTCTTAAATTAAAATGATTAAAATACATTTTGGCTGAGGAACATTTATCCAACAGGTTGTGAGAAAGATTCAGGTTGGCTCAAAAACGATGACAGTTTTTAAAGACCATCGCGGTGCAATCCAAAGGATTGAAGTCGACATAATTTTTCAAAGGAGGTTTGAGGATTCTTGAAAAAAGAAACACAAACACACGCAATTTATATCACCCTAGACTGTACATGTTGAAAATTTGACAAAATGCTAAGTGTCGTCTGAAAATACTTTCAGTGCGGCTGGAATATTCTGCATCTATTATAATTTTTTTTTTTATTTTGTCATCGAAAAAAAAAAACAACATCACTACCCTTTGGTTTTATTTGGTATTGCGAAAACATTTAAAATGAAATCCTCGATTAAAAGAGATTTTCATTGATTTTTATGGGAAGGTGATTATGTTACAAATTATTTTCACAAGTCACAGGGAATAGAATCGTTTGAGATATACTAATTTTTAACGAAACGCTGTGTCTGTATTGTATCCATCAGATTATCCCAACAGTACCTAGAAGTAAAACATGATGACAACAAAATAACACCTTACCAGTTTCAGAGCCTTTGTTCCCTCTTTAGGGGAAATGTGAAGCCCAGAATATTTGGCATTGGTTTTGTCTGACCGATATACACAGTGACAACTTGAAGCCTTCGCTATTTGCAAACTGCCCCAAAACACGCTTTGTCTGCTTTCCAATTTTGCATAATAGTTCTCTTAAATATTTATGGGGAATTGAGGGTGGCGACATAGAACAGCAAATCGTTCAAATGCAGATGTCCTCTTTTCTTCGTTTCTTTTTTTTTCTTTCTTTGTCCCTTTTTTTCGCTTGTTTCTATTTTTTCTCTCTTTCTTGTTTTTTTTTTTCGTCTTTCCGTCTTTTTTTTTTCTTTCTTTTTTTTCATGTGTGTGGGGAAGCGTTACTTGTAAAGATTCATACGTCCGTTACCAGACTGTGGGCGGATACCAAGGGAAGAGATAAAGCCTGGGGAGTAAGCCTAGCTACATTCATTTGCGATTCACAACGCTGCTCATCCAATGAAGACGGTTTAAATATTTCCTGACAGAATTTTGGTGGAAAACCGAGTGGTGCCGAGTCATTATTGCTCCCGGTATTTCTCTCAAAGCTCGTTTCTGCTGATTTATACCATACTGTGCGTCGTGACGTCACTAAAAAGATTCAGAGCCTCATTCCAGACTTTACGCGAGCAACGAGACATGAGAGATTAGGGACTAGGTTGAATAGTAAAGAAGCTCTATAAATTAGCATCTGAAAATGATTCGCACTTTAAATTTACAAATATCTTTATTTGTGCAAGTACTTAAAATGAGGAATTTGAACTTGAGGAAAATTTTATTCGCATTTTCAAAACCTGTTTTCTAAAGCAATTATGAGAGTTGCCATTGAATATCATTATTGCTTTTTTCGGAATTGAAATAATGAAAAGCTTGTGGACACGTCCAAAGATCTGGGTACAAGCCTGAACCTGGGTTATCTTTTTGTGCTTTTGGAGGAGACCGTTAACTCAATCAAAGTTCTGTGAATGACAGTGAATATATAAAAATCATACGTGAACTGCAGTTTTTTAAAAAATGAATGAATAAAGTGATCTTCATTTATTCACTGTCATTTATTCATCACTTTACGGGTTTAATTGGAACCAACGTGATGACCAGCTCCCAGTTGCTTTGTTAGCTCAGTTGGTAGAGCACTGCATCGGTATCGTAAAGGTCATGGGTTCAAATCCCATACAGGCCTGAATAGTTTTTCAGGCCTTATTTTCACTACTGCGAAGTTCTTTACTTCACCCGGGAGTTTGAACGAGTATTAGCACAATTAACCGAAAAAGCTTAATCGACTGAAACCGGAATGATAAGCAACAAATAATAAACAACAAATCTTTTATTTCTTGTAAGAGCTATTACTGTGAAATAATAATAAAATTACTTATGATCAACAGGCAATATTCAAAAACCGTAGTTTGATCACAACTGAAACCTAGAAGGTAGAAGAACCGTGAAGTTTTCAAGTTATTCCTTCGCCAAGCATTTGATGAATAAAAAGATTCTTAATTTGAAAATATCTGATTGATTGCGATAAATAAGATTATAATAAATTGACTAAATTAACTAATTGGGGAAATTTGAAATTACACTTGTATTCCGAGAGAGAGATGTGATATTTCCAGAGAGTCTCAATGGAGTGATGACTTTTACGGATAGCGTTTAAAATATTGGCAATTTTACGACTAACGGTAAACATCATTCCATTGTTCTCATCAGGAATTTTTCTGCGGCTAACTTTTTTTACGACCAACGGTTAAAACTGTCAGTTTTTACGCCCGACGGTAAAATATTTGGCCGTTTTTTGGCTCTTAGATAACCCCATTAAGACTTTCTTTCCGAGACAATGAATCCACCATCGTATAGCACCCAAAATATTTTGTTCTATAAGACGGAATAATTCACGTATGTCTTTCAACCTTACATTTACACTTTCAAATACATTTTTTGGGGATCTGGTGATCTGATCTGGTTTTGCCCGAGGTTAAGTTTAGTAGAATTATTTTTAATCTTACACCATTCCTTAAGTTCTCTTAATTCAAAATTGATGAAAACTTCGAAAGTTTTCATGTCGCGAGCTGTCATCAGAAAAAATCTTGGAAGTCAGGCGCCTTGACCAGACGCCGTAATGGCATACCCTGCGGAGTGCTGCAGATCATCTTTCGTCTTAGCAATTCTATAGCCACACATTGCTGCCTACTATCAAGCTAGTTCGTGAACTATTCTAAGGGAACTCCCCTTATTCCATATTTCTCTAGTTTTATCAACAATATTTGGTGATTCACGGTGTCGAAAGCTTTCGAAAAGTCTATGAATACTCCACAAATGTATAAATTGTTGTCTATGGCTTTTCTAAATCTATCTACAATTTCGCTGACAGCTTTTGCTGCATTGTGGAGTCGCCTTTTCCACAAGAAAACATCTTCCCAAAAAGTTTCTTTACGCCTTTTCTAAATCTTTTGTAACGAATGAAATATGTAACAGGATTAATGAAAAGAGAGGTTTTGGCAAAAATGGAAGGGGCCGTAGATACTGAATGGGACAGAGTTACTGGTTTCCAAAATGCCTTATAAAAGGACAGGGCTGCGTAAGGCGACCAAACAATTAGAAAACTCACAACCATAATGAATGTTGTTAAGGTTAATCTCTTTTTAGCGAGAACAGTTTCTAGCGTTTGCTGGGATTTTTTACCGCAGTTGCGCCTTGATCTTTTTTCCATTTGTCGAAGGTCGTAATAAATGATGGCATAGGATGCTATAAGTACAAAAGAGGGCAGTAATAGGAAGAAGATGAAAGTGCAAATCACAAAAGAAGTGTCAGCGGTGTTGATTGACTTCCATCTTAGAGAACATGATATCCCATTGGCTTCTGGGACATATGCAGACCAGCCAATCAATGGGAAGATTCCCCAGATCGAGGCTAATGCCCAAATAAGACTAATGATTGCTGACATCTTCTTTCGAGTGACCTCTGCTGACATTGGAAAATGAGTCTTCGAGCACCTTTCAACTGCAATGGCCACGTGGTGTAAGATAGAACCAAGGCCTACGGTAACATTGAAGTATGCGTACCAACTGCAACCGCTGTAATCAAACGGCCACCTCGCGTGGGCGCTTGCAAATGCTGCCAATGGCGTTGCAATTGTGGCCAAAACGTTGTCAGCTACTGCCATGCTAAGGACTGGTATATCTGCCGCGGACAAAAGCTTACGATTCTTGGTGAAAGTCAGTACCGTGACAGTATTGAGAGTGAAGCCCAGAACAGCAAGAAAGCCAAACAATACTGTAGCAAACATGTTTTTTAGCTCATTTGTCTTCTTCGTCCTCCTTTGAATACTTCAGCCGTTTTCCATCTTTTAACTGTAATCAGAAACGGCACCAAAAAGCTTAATGGTCAATCCGAAGAAAATACAATAAAACCGCTTAGATTTTCGTTCGTAAGAAAGAAAAAAAGGCAAAATTTAAAGGCATATAAACCAGTGTTTTATGAAATTAAAATTAACAAGTAGACATTTATTGAAAATCGTCTTGTAATTCAAACTCGTCGGATCAAAACATGGCTGGAACCTCCCTCGAGGATTCGCAGCATTCGCTTGTGTTGAATATTATGAGACCCACTGTAAACTGCCCACCGTAAAGAGGTTCTAAAGCCGAAATCGCTCTGACGAAGGGCTAACGCTCGAAACCGACGGCGTCGGCTCCAGAAGCTCAATGTTCCATTACCGCGCACTAATTATTACCGAAAAAGCTTTAGCTACAATGGCGCCACATTATGGAACAGTCTACCATGCGATATAAGGAACACAGAGTCTCTGGGGGTATTTAAACGTAAGATCAATAACATTTTTTAACGCACGGCACTCACGGAAAACAGCTTTTAGTGTTATAGTATATAGTTTGAGTTTTAAATATTCTAGCGTATGTGATATGTATTTTTTAGGCTGATGAATTGACCGTGTTTAAATAAAAATAAAATGAAATGAAAAATGAAATTTTAAATAAAATAAAGTGAAGCTCTTTACGGTGGCCAATTCAAACTTCTCAACTCGGTTTATAAAACGAAATTATCTTGTTAAACCCTCGCAGACGCAGCACTACAGGTTCTTTAAAAACTTATCCTTCTATCATTTTGGGAGCTGTATAGTGCGAAAATCTCTCAGAAAAGTCCAAAATCAAATACTGTTGGTAGCCACCTTTTTATACAGATGTGCGTCAAAGGCATTCATCTTACGTAGGTAAGAGCCAGTCATAATTTATCGCCGGCGCGTAGTGTTGGATTGTGGGAAGGTTCACGTTGTTGAGGGTCCCAATGGGGTTAACCGTTAGCCGTAAAACGGCCAAAATATTTAGCCGTTAGACGTAAAAATTGAAAAATTTTAACCGTTAGTCGTAAAAAAGTTAACCGTAAAAAATATCTCTGGTGGAAACAATGGAAAGGTGTTAACTGTTAGCCGGACATTGGCCAAAATTTTAACCGATAGCCGTAAAAGCCATCACCCCATTGAGACCCTCGTTGTTTTCAGGGGAAACAAAGCGGGGATGAGTCGTCGTCGCCGCCAAAGTATAAGATGGGGAACTACATGACTGCTAATGAGGGGAGGGGGGGAAAAAGGGTCGAAAGAATATTGCAGAGCCCCAGGGAAGGATCAGGTTAATTTTCTCGTGACAACAAAATAAGTTCACTGCCCTCTCCCCTTAGGCGATATGTAATAACTGGCTCTGTCAATTGTATTAAACGAAATACAACTACACTGGAAAACGGTCAATTTTTTAAACATGATCTTTTTCCACTCAATTCATCCAATGAAACAGAACAACTGATCAAATTGTTATTTCTCCTTGCTCGCTATTCTTTTCCTAGTCTACTGATGAAATAAAAGTCGCTTTGTGGAACATACGTGTATGATTCAAACACAGTGTCTTTTTTGTTTATATGTGAAGTGAGGAGAGCCGATCGGTTCCTTTTCTCGAGACGTCATTGATCAGAGAACTTGTTGGTTGGCTGTTGTGATCATTTAAGTTAATTTGTTCTCATTATGTTCTGGCCAAAACTGAATCGAAAGGATAGAACATTTTGGTCAGCATGCCTCCGTTGTGACGATGAGTCGTTTTCGCCAATTTGTGCAGAGAAAAAATTTGATCGCTAATCATAAATAGCCGTCAAAGTGAATGCCGCGACAAACTTGAGAGCAAAAAGCATGCAACGATCTTTTAGAAGACCCTTAGCGCCTTGTCGGAACAATGCGTATCACAGTGGACTGACAAACAGACTTGATCATTGATTTGTTCACTATCACAAAGTAATTTTTGCATTTAGAATTTTTATGTTGGTTCTCTTTCTGCAAAAAAAAAAAGAAAAAAACGGCAGCAACGACCAAAAACATAAAAAAAAAGTCCTTACTGTATTTGGGGGTCTTAATGTGGTGACAGCTTTTACGGCTAACGGTTAACATTTTGTGCCAATTTACGGCTAACGGTTCGCATCTTTCCACTGTTGTCATTAAAAATGGTCCAGGTCAACCCTTCCTAAGACTAACGGTTAAAATTGTCAGTTTTTGCGCCTTAAGGTTATTTTTTTGAGATCATCTGTGTTTCCGCCGTTCTAAGTGATAAACGATGCTTTTAGAGTGATCAACATTTGTCAATTTAAATGCTTGGTTTTTTTTTAGTACGATGGTTCTTTTATTTCGATCTTATTTATCCCGTTTTGATAGTTGAAGATTTAAAAGGATGATTTTCTCCGACATATTTTAGTTCATAACTGGGGCGTGTCGATCGTCTGGCCGTACTTCGAAAACATTCCTTACCTGGCAACCACTCTGGAATATTACTGTCAGAATATCAAAAACATGTTGATTTGTTTTCAATAAGCCAAGTAACTTCAATTTTGAATATTGATTGTTGGGTAGAAAAAAAAAGTGAAAAAATTGTTTTTCAGAGAGAGACAACAACTGAAATTTTTAAGGATAGAAATGAGAAGAAAAAAACATTTTACTTGAATAGTAAATGGTTACAACGATAATCGAAAGTTCTAGAATCACTGCCGAAGGCCAAAAGTAAGTGTTGTCTATAATATATAAAATAGCTGTTCTGACCATATGAATATGTTAACTTTGAACTTTTTGAATCTAGCTATAAAACTGCTTTCTTATATAACAACTCAGTGTTAAATCTCTATATATTTCGTTACAGTTAATGTTACTTACCTGCTGTGCCTAAATCTTGTATTTTGACATCAGTTTGGTTTTCCAATGGGAACACAAATATGGAAAGCGCAGAATGTAAACTTTCTGATTTGAGTCCTTCGCCTGGAGAGCCCGACTTCTTTATGAGCGACTTCCACCTCACTTATAAAACGTCCCATGAAAGGGCATTATATAACGAACTGTTATGTAACTGGACACGAGACGTAAGGCGTGAGATGGGTGTATCAGGTAAAGCCACGATGATTTTCAGGTAAGCTAGATATAAGCCAGTATACTATACTCCTTGCATTCGCCGAGTGGGCCTGTTCTTGCGAATTTCATGCACTCGTCGCTGCGCTAGTGAGGTTGGCAAATCAGCTTGAGTGATTTTATTACACAGTTATTTAAAATGGAGCTTAGCAACAAAATTTACTCACAGTGATGTTAACCTACAATGGCCTAGGAGGCTTACAGTCCAGTTTTGTATTTGACAGTCCAGTTTTATTTTTTCACAGTCCAATTTCATTTTTTCACAGTCCAGTTTTGTTTTTTCACAGTCCAACTTTGTTTCAATTCGCAGTCCTGTTTAATTTTCAGTATTTAGGTACCAGCTCTCTATGTTGAGACGCAACAGCTATGCGCATACTCATGTGCTATGCAATCTGGCTTTTGGCGGGAATTTTAACGTTACCATTTTGTCCTAACTGATTTAAGAAGTCGAGAGATGCCTTTGCCAACATATACGCCATGTAAGAGAGTAGATGACGGAACTGCTGAAGATTATCTGGAGTTTGTATTGCAATATTTCTGGCAAGGCTACAGTAATCTGGAAATACTTGAATTTCCGAAGCTCCATGGGGTGAGCATATCAACGCTGAAAAGAAGGCTTATCTCTCTAACTAGGATCATCAAGAAAAATTATCTGATGATGAACTGAGAAGTGCCATTGAGAAAAAACTCGGTAAAAGCGGTTGTTTTGTGGGATATCGTAAGATGTGGGCAAGGATAAGAAAGAAGGGATTTATAGTCAAAAAAGCAAAAAAGTGGGCTTTGAGCCTCTTGGGCCACCGTATGGCCCATGGTATCCTGGGCCATCGTAAAAAGGGGCAGGGCCCTGCTTACGGTTATAAAATGATCTGAATATTACATACTCTGAAAATGGTTCTTTTCGATTATTTATTTTATTTCATTCATACGAAATATTCAAAGGAAAATCCTTCAAAAGAGAAATATAATCGTTTGTTTCACAATGTGGTCTCTCTGGATGTGGATCGTGGACTGCACTCTGTTAGTCTTCTTCAGGCGATGAGGTGAATTGAGTACGCGTCACCTACATGCTGTAGTTCTCAGCTCTGACTGAATCGAATTCCACAGCCGTGACTGATGCACATTTGGATCAGGTCCCTCTATGGTCTGTTACCGCACAGCTCTCCTGCTGTTGTGTTTTTTGATGTTGGCATTCAGGCCTCTGGGATTTAAATCCACTGTCCCTGTTGATGTTGTTAGGGCGAAGTCTTATGCGAGTTGCCCCTATGACCCGGCGTGTGAAGAACTGAGGGGCAAGATCAATAGACCTTTACTTCGTTCCAGAGCGGGCGATGTCCGCTGTTGTGAGCATGCTCTAAAACGGCGGAGGTCTGCGTCTTGGCGAGTCGCATATCCCTATCGTGTTCCTTGATTCTCTCCTGTAAGGGTCTGCCAATTTCGCCGATGTAGACCTTCCCGCACTCACAAGGAATCTTGTAGACTATGCCATCCTATTTAGCCGGGCGACGGCATCTCTTCGGGCGTAAAAGGTGTGATAGCAGCGTAGTCTCTGAATTGAAAATGGCGCGTATGCCCTGTCGTTGTAGACGGCGGCGAAGTTATTCGGAGAGGTCTTTTATATGGGGTAGAACTGCTGTGGATCTAAACTCGGTGGGGGATTCAGTGCTGGTGGTCGGTGTCTTGGTTTTTGTTACCCTTTCACTAAAGAAGAAGGATAACGATCAGAAACAAGAATAGATGACAGAAGTTTCTTCTCCTTGAACGTAATGA